CACAACTGTATAATTCTTCACCATGTCTTTTTTCTTTGACGAGATGCAGAATTCCTGCACAGTAAGGCTGTGCTGCATTTATGCTCTATAGCAAACCTAGCAACTAGTACTGGGGCCTGGAATGTAGTTGGAGCGGGGCAGCTTAAACTAAGACTAAAAGATCCACAGTACAAATTAAAAAATGGTGGTGGCCAGGTTTAGTTTTGTAGTTATTACATGCCCAGAATTGGCATCAGTAACAATGAATCCATGTCCATACCTGTAGTCAGTGCCAAATTTTCAGATTCTGAACCAAAACTTTTCTAAGAAATGAGCATCCCCACAAGTAACAAATTCTCCCTCCAGCATTCTCCCCGCTTCATGTCTTCCAAGAAACACCTTGAGAAGACTGTGTCCCAGCCACCACTTCATCGAGTTTTGTCATTTGTTTCTCTTCTTTAGTAAAGAAAATTATTGCAAAAGAAGGCTTTTGGCCATTTCTTCAAAAAGAGAACCTTTTCAGGATGACATTTATGTGTCCGTGGGATGTTTATCAGCAAGAACATTTCTGCCTAAAGCAGAAAATGTTCTCGTGAGGTAAAATTACAGGTGATCTATTACTCATGCCAAACAGGAAGGGCAAAATGTCAACATTTATATCTAGAGGATTGGGATTCCTGTAACATATTCTTCCCACGGTGTGCACTTAGTGTGAAGGGCTGCTTCTACAAGCTATTTCCGGGGCACTTACCTGGAGTACACAAATATCTGAACACCATAAATAGGGAGAAAATAACAGGGACTTTGATTTTCACCAAAGAAATGTACTCATTATCATCAAGGAGAGGAACATTGGACTGACTTAACATATATAAATGGCTGAAGACCTGTCTAGGTGGCAAATATATCCTCTTCTCTCCATTAGTCTGTGACTGTAGGTTTTTAAAAATCTATTTCCACAGTGCTGCCTAATAATAAATATAAAATAGTTAAGGGTAAATCTCTTTCCCAGCAAACAGAAAAACTTGTCTCCTACTTTGGGTGCCATAGGTTGGTCCATATAACTTGTTCTTTCCATATTGAGCCTAGCACATGCATTAGAACTTTTATGTGAGCGTACCAAACAACTGCCCTCAAGAAGACAAAATGCAGACTGAAATACCTCACAGGCTCAAAAATTTCAGAAGGCCTTAACAACGTGTATTTTTTCTCTTCAACGCAGCTGTTCTTAGGCTTGAGAAAGACGTCCACTTTCTTGAAACAAGCTCTATATGAGGGTGTCCTCCTCATATTCTTTGCCATTACTTATCCTTTAAGTAACATCCTTTAAGAATCAACTCAGCAGTGTTCTCTGCAAGAATTCCTCTTGACACCCCAATTTTGGTTACAGATACCATTGTGTGTCCCTATCCCTCTGTGCTTACTTTTGTCACACTGCTATAATTCTTCACATGTCTTTTTCTTTGAAGAGATGCAGATTCCTGCACAGTAAGGCGTGTTGCATTTATCTCTATAAACCTAGCAACTAGTACTGGGCCTGGAATGTAGTTGGAGCTCTGTAATGCAGAAGCAAGGTGGATGGGAATAATCAAATCATACACCCCTCCCAGAAGGGTCCTAGGGGAAGATATTGACACAAGATTCTAATTTTGTGGATATAGTTATGAACCTAAAGTAGACTGAGGGAGTTGCCCTAGATCATACAGCATGTTGGTTTTAGAGAGGGAACCAAATTCAGTCTTCCTAAATCCCTAGTCCAGGACTCCCTTATTGAAATTAAATCAATAATATATATTAAGTATGAGGAATTCCACAAGGAATTTATATTTCAAGTACAAAAGAACTATGTGATACATGAAACATGGGTGTGACAAAAGTAAGCACAGAGGGATAGGGACACACAATGGTATCTGTAACCAAAATTGGGGTGTCAAGAGGAATTCTTGCAGAGAACACTGCTCTGCAAGAACACTGACTTTATGGGAAGGGAACAGAATAAAGGAAAGAACATGCTTAATTAGACTATACTAAGTGCATTGGCCATTTCATTTGTTCTTTTACTAATGACTGGACTAAGTATTTTACACATGCTGTCAATTAAATTAACACACATTCATGAAAAACATTGAGTCAAATACTGTGAACATTAAAAATCATATTATGCAGTCTTCACCACAATTTCAAGAAGTTAGGCATTTCACCATCCAAAGTTTGTAAATGAGCAAGTAAGAGTTTAAATCAAATGTCTAAGTTTACATTATTTGTAAGTGATGAAGCTGAGATCTGAATTCAGGTTTATCTGACTCCAAAGCTCATGTATAGGGCCTCACAGATAGCACTATAGTCATCCAGTAAATGCTTGTAAAACTAAACTTTTGTGGAAGTAATAATGGTGGACTCATTGAAGATGGCCCAGGGTACAAAGGAGTCATCCTCCTCAAAATCCCAGTCTTTCCCCATCCATTGGTTTATTTATCAAACACTTCCTGAATTTATATTCTTGTCAATATACTGTGTTATGAGACACAGATATAAACTTATCTCTGGACATCCTTAATCCTAGATGACCTAGCTGGGAAAATAGAAAGGCAAATAATTATTATACAGTAGTCTATATACCAATCAGGAATATTTACGGTGATTTATGACTGAATAGTCATTACCCTAAACTTAGTGTTTTAAAACAGTAGTTTTATTATCTCTTATGATCCTTGAGGTATTGAACTCAGCTTGGGTTCTCTTGTGTTTTTGTAGTCCAATGGTGGTTGAGACTAAGATCATCTGAGACTTTCTTTACTTACACATCTAGTTTCTGGGATGAATGGAACCATCGTTGGATAGTCTGATAGATATCTCTTTCTTCACATGGATTCTCCACATGGCTAGCTTAAAATTCCTTACAGTATGACAGTCTCATGTAGATAAATATTTCTGGTGACTGGCTTCCCTTGAATTAAACCTTCCAAGAGACAAGGTTGGAAGCTGCAAGGCTTTTTCTTAGTAAACCTGTGAAACCACACTGTTTCACTTCCACTGCATTCTGTTTGTTACCAGTGAGTCCCAATCCTGCTCAGATTCAAGGGGTGGGGCTATAAAAGAGCACAAATACTGACAGGCATAGTTCTTTGTTGTGGTGGTCGGGGATGGGGGGTGCATCTTTGGAGACCAGCTCCTATATTTACCAAGGGCTTTGAGATCTGTGTAAAGCAACAGACCAACTCTACCCTAAGGCAGAAGAAGTCCAGCCTGAGAAGACTTTTGACAAAGGTGAAGTAGGACTTAAAAGTCAAGAGGCTAGAGTTTCTTCCCCCAAGTAATTGGATTGAACAATGGTGTGTGTTTAGTGGGATGGGGTATGTGGAGAGTGGCATAGACGGTACGGAGATTACGAATAGGTGTCTCCTTCCTGGCCGTGCAAGAAATGCAGACTTTATAAAGAAGGGAATAGGAGTCACTGAAAGGTTTAAAGCAACCAAAGAGTACCAAGATGAGTGTTGCGTATTAGAAAGATAACTTTCTGGTTGCAGTGTGGACGATAGATCTAAGAAGTCAATAATGGAGTCAGGGAAACATGCAGGTGAGAGAAAACGGTGGGCAAAGGACATGGACAGACACTTTTCAAAGGAAGACATAAGTGCAGCCAACAAGCATATGGAAAAATGTTCAACATTGCTAATCATTAGAGAAATACAAATCAGAGCTACAATAAGAAACCATCTGACACCAGTCAGAATGACTGTTACTAAAAAGTTAAAAAATAACAGATGTTGGTGAGATTAAATTTGTTTAGCCATTGTGGAAAGTAGTTTATTGATTTCTCCAGGAATTTAAAATAAATTACCACTAAACTCAGCAATCTCATTATTGGGTAAATACCCAAAGGAATATAAATCATTCTACCCTAAAGACACAAGCATACATTTGTTCATTGCAGCACCATTTACAATAGCAAACACATGGGATCACTTCAATGTCCATCAGCAGTAGACTAGGTAAAGAAAATATGGTACATGTAGACCATGGATTACTACACAGCCATAAAAAAGAACAAGATTATGTCCTTTGCAGCAACACGGATGGAGCTAGAGGCCAT